AGACTAGTACATGGAAAAGGCAGAGGCTCAAAGCTGGGGCACATGGCCACATCCCAGGTCAAGACCAGCCGGAGTACTCAGTGCGATATGTGGGATGGAGGAAGATGCAAGATGCTCCCCCTAGCCCCTGTGACAGGACACCATTAGAGAGGGCATTTGAAAAACATGATGGAAGAATGGTCATTCTCAATCAGTATTCATCCTCAAAGTTTGCACAAGTTTATGTTACATTTTTATTAATACTTTACCATATGGAAATTACCTTTTCCATGAGGCTGAACTGTATTTTGATTTATAAATATTCAGAAATTTAAACTTAGAAACCCTGCTGGCCCTATCCTGTCATGTTTCTTTCTTGACAATTGCTTTTGAGGGGTAGGGTAGGGAGACAAGGTCTCATTCTGTAGCTCTGACTGACCTGAATTTGTATCAAGTTTATAGAAATCTATCTGCCTCTGCCTCCCAGAGCACTGGGATTAAAAGTGTGCACCAACACACATAGCTTCTGACAATTCTCTCTAAACAGAGACTCTGTCCCTAACAAATGGTTACATTACTTTGCTTCACATTCTTTATGAAAGGGACTGGGATAATGCCATCTGTTAGCCATCCTTTCTAAATTTGCTCAAAATAAAGTAGGCCAGCAAATAGTACGGTCAGGGTGACAAACACAGGACCTTTGTGCTGTCAATGAGTTCCACGCCTTCCTTGTCACCACATCTGCTGGGGAAACTCCAGGATCCTGACCAGCACAGCTCCAGGTTCTCGGGCAAACTGAAAGCCTGACTTGGCTGAGCCTGGACTTAGATATTTCAGCGATGGACTTGAATGTGTGGCTCTCTCATGCACATAGTTGAAACTGTAGTTTTGGGGTTAGTACTTCAATGTAGACTGGAGGGAACTCTGGATATCCAATACTAGTAGACATGACCAAGGAATCTGGGGTCTTTTATAAAGTTGTACTAATTTTAGCACTGTCGGGAAGGGGTACTGGTAGTTCTAGAAGACAGTTTTGAGGAACATGAAACAAAGAGAAAAACAAATTACTGCTGTCTTGCTGCAAGGAACACTAACAGAGAACAGAGGACCCTCTCTAACCACAAAGCACTTTTGGGGATCAAGGGCAGAAGACCTAACTTCTTCAAGACTTAGAAACTAAATATTGTCTTAAAGATCTTCCGATGGGAGGGTATAATTTGAACCTTGTAAAGCTTTTTCTTTCTCTCATAATTTCAAAAGACTTGGTCCTTCAGCAATAAACAACCCCCCAAGGAATACACAGACGCCCTTGTTTTTGAATCCCAGTCTGCTCATTAATTTCACTTTAAAAGAGTATTAGCTCACCCCCAGGTGTACACAAACAATAACTAGACACACATTTATATAACTCCCTACTTTTATGTTACTACAGCCATGGAATAGGTTATACCACAGCATAGTTCCTTACCCTGCTACCATAAAAGATGGCTAGAATTTGAATGTTACCCAATATTCATGTGCCACAAAAATATTTTAAGTTTCTGATTAAAAATTTTTATGAGTATGTGCACATGGGTACGGGTCCCCAGATCTGGAGCTACAGGTAGCTGTGAGTCACCTAATGTGGGTGCTGGGAACTGAATTCAGGGCCTCTGGAAGAGTAGCAAGTGCTCTTAATTGCTGAGCCAACTTTATAGCCCCACAGAATATTTTTTTTTAAAGTTTTCCAGTCACTTAAAAACACAAGAAACATTCTTAGTTTGCAGGTCGTACAAAAGCAAGAAGTAAGTTGAATATGGCTCCTGGACTGGAGTTTACTAACCCCCAATTTAGACCTTTGCATCCTCAAAAGTATTTACTGAATTGATATTTATATAAAATTCTATTAGACTTGAGTCCCTACCTCCCTCTGACTTTAATTTAACACGCAATGTGTTACACTTAATTTCTTTGCCCAGGACACTTTTATACTGCCTTGGTCAAATACTTAATTGTTCATAAAACAGGGCAGTTATTTTCTAAGTATCTACAAGTTACATATTATGTAACATTGTACTTCTGAGGGTAATTTGTCTAGAATCCAGACTATTCGAATTTCCCTCAAGCTGGTCATTTTGATCCAGAGTAATAGGATCCAGTCCTCACATCTTCCAGTCTCTTAGGAATATGAATGATTTATTGAAAGGTGAAAACACAATAGACAACCAACAGAATTACCAACAGATGCTTCAGGGCAGAGAGATGGATGTAACTAGAAATGCTATTTTAAATCTTAATTCTCTAAAGGGAAGAAGCCAAGCTTCTGGAAGACTCATGAACTATGGAGAAAATAGGAATTACATATGAATTGGTAAAATGATGTTTTGAATGATGAACAAGAACATTTTCCCTTAGAGAAATGAGACAGTTTATAGAATCTCCAAGGAGATTTTCCAAAGTGTAGACCCCAAGAGTTTTTGTATGATAGGTAAGTGCTACTGTTGAATTAGAACTTTGGTGCATTCTTATCTTCCTCAGTAAGTTCAGGGATATGGGTACACCAGATACCAGGATAAAAGAGAGTGGAATTGAAATAGTTTTGGAAGATTTTTCTGTTTGTCAGCAGTAGAACCACCTGTTGTCCTGGTCTCTACTGGCACAACAAAGAAGAATGCTGTGGAAATCATTCAGAAAACAGACAGGAGCATATGGACCCTGTCCTTTAGCTCTTCAGAGGAACATATACTTCCTTGAAAAGCATGTTGGCTCTTTATCTTACCCCTCATCATAAGCCATCTTATCTGAGGGACTTCCTAACTGAAGGACATTTAGAATTGACAGGCAAGTACATACACCTGAAGATGAAATGAACTGAGAACAGTGATCCTGTGCACTGTAAACCTGTAAAGAGCCCAGGGCTGGGAATGTCACAGGCCCTGGATGGAGGTAGGGGAATCTTCCACTGTTGTGTTACTAAATGAACACATTGTCAAATGGCCTTCTAAATACTATGTTTATACCCATAAATAGTGCAGTTCTATTAGGTCTCAGAAACCCTAACAAATTGCTGAGGACCTATTAACATATCAAAGCAGATGCCAGCCAGCCCTCCCATCATCAGTCAGTACTCACCCTTGGCTCCTCCCAGCACTTCACATTCTATCCCCTACCCTAAGCCTCTCTCTCCCTCCTAGGGGCTGGGCTTCTGCTTCCCTTCCTCTCAGCCTGATCTCCACATAACTCATTCAATTTGCTATAATGCTCTCTTGGGCCCTGTGGCCTCTCTTGCTCTTCTCCCCATGTCCTCTCCAATTTAGTCTGCTGGCCAAATTTGGCCTAAACTCTTCCCTCTGCCTGCCTTCTCCCTTCTGTCTACAATAACTCTTCCTTGTACTTTAGGAGTACTCATGTCCTCCTCCTTGACTTCATCTTTTCATTCACTCTCAACCTTGGTCAGAGAAGCTTCTTTCTGCAGTAGGCAGCAGTCAGTGCAGAGACTTTTAACTGGTCAAAGTGCTGCGAAGTGACTAAGCCCTAGGTGAGGCATTTAGATACACACATTTGTCCCTGCCAAGGCTTATGCAGCATTTTGGAAGAAGTAGAGGAGAGAATTTAAGAGCGGTTCAATGCAGGCTGTACTGTGAAAGGCTCTCCTCTGGATATGACATGGCCACTACTTTCATGAACTCACAGCAGGTGTGCTCACCTACACAGAACATTCCAGTTAACATTCCAGCATGGATGAGGAGGGGCTCATCAGGCTCCACCCTGAGCTGAGGAGCTATTGTCAGTGCATGGTCGCTGGGGTAGGAAGAGTCATTTTTCTTTGTGGGTACCAGCTAGTAGGTTCTTGCTCCTGAGGATGGCCTCACATTCATGCATGTGCAAGTGGCAGTAACTGAACTGTGAGATACTTAAACACAACAAAAAGCTGAGGACAGGGAGGTGAGAGGCTTTGGGGGTGGGTTCTAAGGAAGTATGATGGGGAATTGGGTTGTATATGATCAAATTGCATTGCATATATGTATTAAATTGTCAAAGGATAATAAAAAATATTAAGTAAAATTTCAATAAAAAGGCAAACTTTCTAGTTTTTCTTTCTTGAAATAAGGTCTTGCTATGTAGTCCAGGCTGGCTTTGAATTCTTGACTATCCTCCCAAGTGCTTGAATTAAAGACATGTACCACTATGCCCAGTAAACATTCTATTCTTTACCTAATAAGTTCTTAAGTCTTTTCACTTTTACACCAAATTTGAGTGGAAACTGAAAGCCTTCTGCTTTCTTTCTAATATCTGACTGTTTCCAAAGCAAACTGCTCCACATTCACATTTACTAGGAAAAAATAATAAATTATACTCATAAATTTCATTGAAATGCCACACACAGTGTGCTCTTTAGAGCAAACATTTCAACATAATTTACAAAAGAGACTAATATTTCACATTGCATAAGGAGCCTGCCTATAAGAAATACTGTAGGTCTTAACACTTCCCCAAAAGACGAACTAAAGAAACAATCTTCTTTAAAGAAAAATGGGTCTCCGCAGGTACCCATACTTATGTGGTGTACATACATACAGGCAAAATACCCACACACGTAAAATATAAACACTTTATTTAAAAAAGGGAAGATAGTCTGTGTTAAAATCCAGACAAATGGTAAACACTGACTGACATTCCTTATTTTCTCTTCAACCATCTGAATCTTTCTTTAGTCTTTGCCAGGGACAGATGATGTGTTCCTGAGAAGGGTTAACATTGCACACATGTGGGTGAAATCTTTTATCTTTCAGGTAGCCAGGACCTCAGAACTATACAGCAATACTGCCATATATTAACCTTAAAAAAGGGGGGGAGAGCGTAGACTCCTATATGTTAAGCAAAGGGAAAAAAAAAAAAACTTTTACCTGGAAGAAGCCAATAAAAACGATACCAAGCTGTCTGGTATAGACTCTGTTCATACCTGGAAGTCTGGCAGAGTCCTGCTCTATTAGACAGCAGGGAGAAGGTAGGTCTCACCAATTCCCAGTGCTCATACTTACATTTTGTCTTGGCCAGCGCCAACTCGCAGAGTCAACCTGGGGATAACTGGACTTGGGGCTGGGATCACGGGCTCCACTTTTATCTGTGGAAGTTAGTACATTAGTTAGAAGAAAACAATTCTTCCTGAAGTATTTCCTACCTCTTCTACTTCCCCACCCCATAAACCTAGTAAAAAGCCATGGCTAGTACATGTGTGCTGTGTATAGATGGGAATGTGGGAGGCAGAGGTAGCAGTGGGTGTCTTCCTCACCCATTTTCTAACCTCTTTGAAGAAAGTCCTCTCAATGAAGCAGAAACTCAGCCATTAGGATGAAGGTGTCCAATGAGATTCAGGGTTCCAAGTGTCTCTAACTTGCCTCTCCCCAGTGCTGGGACTAGAGGTGCACATACTGATTCTCTGCTTTTATCTCTGTTCTGGGCATCAAACCTAGGTACTTAGGCTTATACTGTATCAATTGAGTATTCTCCCCAGCCCCAGTACATGTTTCTAAATAGCTGAAGGCTATTTGACACATAATATAGTCTACAAACTTTACCAGCATCACATTAATATAGGAGTTGTTTCTGGCTTATTGCCTTGTGGTCATTTCTTTAGTTTTATTGTACTGTTTTACACACTGTACATACACAAAAAGGGATATTATGGCATCTGATGGAATATTTACATAATTGCCACATTTTTACTTAGTTTTAAAGGTTTACTTATTTTTATTGTATATGCATGAGTGTTTTGTCTGCATGTGTTTGTGTGCCACAAGTGCCTGGTGCCTGTGGAGGTCAGAAGGGGGCATTAGATCTAGAATTGTAGTTACAGACAGTTCTGAGCTGCCATGTGGGAGCTGAGAACTAAACCTGGGTCCTCTGGAAGAGCAGCCAAGGCTCTTAATCACTGAGCAATCTCTCAAGCTCCATAACTGCCAGAAAGAACATAACCAAAAAGGCTTACTGTAAGATCTTCCCTATACAACATCTACTTATGGGCTTTGATGAATGCAATCCTCACTGTAAGTTTGTTTTATTATATCTGAAGACTAAGTACCATAATTATAGTACTATGTAATTCTATTTTTGACTCACTATAAAAAGACCGGAAATTCACGTGTGTGTGTGTGTGTGTGTGTGTGTGTGTGTGTGTGTGTGTATGCCACACTTTCTCAATTTAGAAAGGATTTATGGTGAAAGTAATGACGTCTGAAGAAGTTTAGGACCTCACAAACATTTGAGCTATAGTCGGAAAGAAAATATACAAATTTAGTATGACATTTCATGGTCTCTTGACAATTAGTTAAGGAAATATGGCATAATAAATATTTTGAACAAACAAACAAAATTTCTATGGTCCCAAATTCTTATCTACATCAGAGGACAGGCAATTTTTGGTGGGATTATTCTTTGTCATTTGGGAATGGCTCAAGCACTGACAGATGTTTAACTTGTCTTGGAATACTGCAAGCCTATATGTCATTGCTAAGCCTGACAACTATCTACAAACACCGATTTACATATGTGAAGCCTAAGAATGAAACAATAATGAAAGCATATGAGGCTATAAGGGAAATGGATAAAGTACTGTTCAATGCATTATATCAGGTAGTTATTTGCATAAGGATCTTATCTACTACTTTCTCATATATATATGCATATGTACACACACACCCCTCTCTACCAACAGTTCATTTACAAACATATTATCATATAAGTCTGCCCAATTATTCTCTTGAACACTGCCTGGCATGTAGGGCATGCTCAATAAACATCTGTTGAATTAATGCTTATCTAAACAGTTATTACATTACCCTTCTAGGATCAACCCAAATTGAGCCTCTGGAGCACTGAATGACAGAAAGGGACATTTAAAAAGCTTTTTGACTTCATGGATGCTTTTAATGCTATTAGTTTATTTGGATTTCCAGCTCACTCAAATACCACTGAAGCCATGTCTGCTTTGTTTACTGTTGTTTTCCAATGTCTATCACAGTGACATGTAAGTGCTTAAGAAACACTTAAGCCTGAATATGAAGCTGTGATTCCAAACCATCATTTCTTTCAAAGCCCTGCCATGATTTCTTTTTAGCTTTTGCTCAATAAAAAGTAAAGAATATTGAGGCCAGAGGAAGGTGAATTCTTTGCCTATAAATGTACAAACTTCTTTGTGCCCCAAGTATGAAGGCCATCTCCTAGACTTCTTAAGAACCTTCTCCATTCCTAAGCATAACTTACATCAAGCCTCTTGACTCTAGTAATTATTTTCATTAAATTTTTAAATGTGCTAAATTCTTATCTTGAAAAAATTATCTGCCCTCCATCCTCTGGCTATCAATCTCATGTATTTTTCACTGTTTAACTTGCATCTTGTTACTCTCTTTACGCCTGTCTCTTCAATTTTTTTTTTTAATATATAGTCATTATTCTAGAGACAGGGTCTTGTTATATAGCCCTGGCTGGCCCAGAACTCACTATGGACATCTACTCACCTCTGCTTCCCAAGTGCTGGAATTAAAGACCTGCACTACCTCACTTGGCAAAGCTATTGTTTTAAAAATAAAGCTGTTAAGGTGGTGACCTTAAAAAAAAAAAAAATCTGCTTTACTAATGTACTATGTTTGGCTCATTTCTTTTCTATGTGATAACTTTAACAGATTTGTCCAGCATTTTAAGGAATCAGTCCCCTATATCATCCAACTGATCTTCAAAACTCAACACGGTAGGTATGGAGGGCAGACTCTCCCCATATAACAACAACGTAGAAACAATATAAGGCTTGCTCAGGGTTGCAAATTTAGTAAATAAATGACTTAAATCCAAGCTTCTTGACACAAAGTTACCTCTGGTTCTACAATACAGTTCCTTGGCTCTTGACCACTCTTTGGGTCCTGGTAGTATGCATGTCCTGAGTGGAGCTGTTTATTTTTCTTTACCAAGGTATCATACGATAACTGATAAATACTGGTGTCATAGCTAGGATTAGCTGTATGGTATTTTCTTTTTTCTTTATGGGAAGCTAGTGAATTTATATGAATCTGAAATTAACCTTTACCTTCATTCATTCAACTAAATAGCTAGATTTTTGTTGCTGTCTTGAATGATCTGACAGTTACTATGAACCAAAAAGTGGGCTATTTATGACTAACTGTAAAAAAGTTAAATGAAGTGGGCATAGTGGCACATGCCTTTAATATCAGAATTAGAAAGGCAGAGGCAGGTGGATCTCTTTAAGTTCAAGGTCAGCCTGTTCTGCATAGGAAGTTTCAGGACAGAGAGAAACCATGTCTCAAAAACAAACAAGCAAACACAGTTCAATGATGTGTAAAAAAAAGCAAAGTAAGGATACAAATCAGATTCAAACTAGTTTGAATGTATGTTGAAGGAAACAGGTACTCCATCAACTGAATGAACTAATGAATGATTTTGCTAGCTTAGTTCAAAGTTCATTTGTAATCACAATAATCAACACTGCCTCTGATAGCAAAAGAGGGAAATATTAAGCATACTATGAAGCAGACATGAACCAGGACTATCTAAGGCAGCTAGGACAAATGGAAATTCTACTTATAAACTACTCAAACACTTTTAGTCAAAAAGTTAAGTCATGTTTATCTTGAAAAATATGAAGGCAGTACAGAAAAAGCGGAGTAAGACCATTTTGATCAAAGGAAAGAGATTAACAAGGATGCTAACACTATAAAGAAAGTATAATTTCTAAATAAGAACTTCCCCCTGAATTTTTATGTTAATTCTATCTGAATGTTTATCAAAATAAAAGCAGAGATTAACTATAAATTAAAAACAATTTTTCCTAAAAACAACAAACTCAATGACTAATCAATTACTTAAAAATATGACAAATGTCATCTTTTAATGGCACAAAGCCACATCCTGGGGCCAAGAGGAGCTTTTAAGGGTTAAAATAAAAGAACAGCACTTTGGAGTAGTGCTGCGAATTGGGGCGAGCAGAAGAGCATTTACAGTGGATTACTAAGCTTCCCAATTCACCAAAGAGGTAAAGTCCAGCAATGTAAGACTCCTTTGTAGCTAACTAAAAATACATTGTCAGTGGATTTGTCCAGTTTTATGTATAAGCAATACTCCTTTCACCTGAGCTAACACTAGTAGTCATATAAGCCCCTTATTGCCATGTGCTGCACTTTTTTTTTTTTTTTTTTTCCTAATCTTCAAGGATTTAGCTTCTTTGCCACATACCTCAGGGCACCAACTGATAAAGCCCTAACTCTCCATTTTTCCAGGACACCAGCAGTGCGGCCTTGCAAAAAATGAAAATCGCTCAAGAGATTTAAAGGGGAAATTTATTTTTAAAATCCTGACTTGAAGCAAAGAGGTGGATTTTTAAAAAGCTTATCTCTAAAGAATCAGTTTAAATTTAAATTCTATCTTGGAACCCTTTCATGCATTCTAGCTTTAAAGTTTATCTCTTGACAGGGACTTTCTACAAAGGTAATGGGCAGCTTTGTCAATTTAATCTGTCCAGGTTTGTTTGTTTATTTATTTATTTATTTATTTATTTATTTGTGATGTTACATTCCTTTCATTAAAAAAAAAAAAAAAGAGCAGAGAACCCCTACCATCTATGTGCACTAGCTCACCTATGTGCACTAGCTTGGGTAATTGCCTCTCAATGCCCACCTGTACAGGTATGTTAGAAAACACCAGCAATACTCCCACTGGAAAGCTACATGGAACCACTTAGCATTCTGGATGCTCAATAATGGTTAGTAGCTTGTTGTCCTTTTTAGCAATTAAGCTCTTCGCATGAGTTTCTTTCTGAAACAGGCTAACAAAATGACAATTCACTATCTGAAACATTCAGAAGACAGTTTGAAGAGGCCTCGCTATAGCTGAGTAGAGGGTGTCCAATTTGAACAGTAAGTCTGGTTCCTTCTGGGCCCTTGGAGTGATTCACAGAAGGCTGGGGTGCAGCCATCAGTACCTGTCCACAAATTAAACATATTCATCTGAATGTTCATGGTCCTAACCTCATGGAAGAGACAGTAATGAGAAATAGGGAGGAAACATTTCCCCCATTTACTGTTACTTTATTCACTGTAAACCCTTCATTTCACTAGT